GGGAGAGGGGTGGGGGGGGGGGGGGGACGGTGAGACCTTGACGGTGCAAGAAACTGCTGAGACTACAGTCAGAGCGAGAGTGTATTATGACAGTCCGAATGTGTACGTACAAGTCGTGGGCCTATCTTTATTTCGCCAGCCGAATCGAATTGATTATTTCCTCTCCAACTCGGGGCAGCAGCAGCATGGGATCAGCAGGGACAGGAAGGGGATTTGATTTCATATGTCTGGGGCTCATTTGAATCATTGGAAACATGGACATGTCTATATAAATGCAAAGCACTGCTGCAAGAGGGATTTCTAAAGTGGAGTCGGACATGGAAAATTAACTACTGGGAACGACTGAGTGGTGTTTAGAACCCAGTGGGGATTTTCACCCGTGTCGCCCTGCCCCGTCCTGGTTCCTGCATTCTCCACTTCTCCACTATCTTGCTGTAACAAATTTCTGTGCAAGACTGCTTTCTGTGATGGTGTTTCTTTTATCTGTAGTTGCTACAAAAACAGTTTATTGGGGAGTTTTTCCATATCTAGATTTTCATTTTTGCCTTCTAGTGCCCTGCGGAGGTAACATTACATCAGACAATGGCACTATCTTCTCCCCCGGTTACCCAGAGGATTACTCCACTTCTGCGGACTGCAGCTGGCTGATTACGGTAGCACACGGCCTGGGCATCCGTCTTAATTTCACCCTCCTGCAAGTCCATGGCCCCCAAGATTTCATCACAGTCTGGTGAGTTGTCAAACTTCCGATTGCGATTATCCTCCTACACCTTGTCAGCTTCTCTTTCTCTCTCTGTCACTCTCTTTTCTGGGAGAGAACATATTTATAGCGCACTCAGACTGATGATTAATTAATGAGCTTCTTTATTGAGTCGCTTGGGGCCTGCACGTACAGGTAGGACTTTGAACTTGGGTTTGTCACGGGTTCCCCCTAAAACCCAAAACTTGCAGTCTAAGCACACATCTTCTCGAAATTCATTGCCTCTCTTGAGACTGCAGTTTTCTGTTTGGATTAACTGAGCATTGATCTCTCTGTACCTAGGGTTCCCTACTCTCATATACTCTATTACATGCAGGGTTCATCCACTTCAAGTCATAGAGGTACAATATAACCAGGACAGCCAAGAAAAGCTCCATCAAGACAGCTTGGCCTCACTTCAGTGAGCCAGCACTCCCTTTAGCCAACCAGATGCTTTGCTGAATGCACAGGATAGGACGTAATCTGTAGCACAAGCTCAGGCGGTCACAAACAGATGGTTTTGAAGCTGAATGGTCATGGATTAGGGATTAGGTTGGTGCCAAGTTATTCCTTCCCAATTAGAGGACTGTAAAGATGGCGATAAGCTCTAGGTGATGTCCTTGTAGATGGTGGCTTCGGTTTTACAATGTCTTGACTCACAGGCTGAGTCTGAACTGAGCGTGAGAGAACGTAGCACACTCCCTAAGAGAGTGTGAGTCTTTGAAATCAGAGAAGTAATCAGTATGGCTAGAATCGTCTCTAAAATCAGCAAAGTAATCAATATGCAGAGAAACTCCTCTCAAATCAGCCGGGTGATCAATATGGGTGGGATCTGACTTACTGTGCATTTTTAGGCAACAAGGCATGTAGTGTTCTGCTGTAGCACCGAGTATGCAATGTTAGCAGGTTTTATACGTTGAATTTTAATGTTGCATCTTAAACAGGGATGGACCACAGGAAACAGCCCGCAAACTTGGAGTGTTTACCGAAGGAGAGCCCAACAACCCACCAAGCAGCACATCTAATCAAGTTCTGATACGTTTCCGAAGCTATTCTGAGAAAGGTGGACTGTTCAAGATCAACTACCAAGGTAACTAGTCCAAAAGAAAGCTACCATTAGCATTCCAATACATCTAAGTAGTTGGTTGATTGATGCAGGAATCCATGGAAATTTGTGACTGAACAAGTATTAAAGAGTTGTAGTTGAGACCAGCTCATTTGAGTCCCAGAATTGAGTTGGTTGAGTCAGATTCAAGATTGAAACCAAAAGAGGGTCGAGTCAGTGTCAAGACAGACCTGAAGAGGGTCTGAATGAATAAGACCATGAAATCTATCCACAGTGTTGTAGTACTCTAGACCAGACTCAATCTCGAGTCCCAGTCAAATGCACCTGACTTCATGACAAGACCAAGAGCTTGAAAATATGGACTTGAGTACTAGAACACTGCATGGGTGCTTAAAATAAAATACAGTTTTTTCAATCCAATGGAACTGCAGGAAAATGACATGATAACACTGACTGGCATCACAACAGCCATGTCACACTTAAGAGTCTTCTAAAAATGAGAACTGGTTAAACATGATTAAACTGAACCCATGAACTCTGACATCCCAATAATTCCACTTTGTGTCAAATAGAACTTTTCTTTACCTTTACAATGGATACAACAGTGCAATATGACATGGCTGACTCTTTACTTCTTTGTCTCTCTTTCTCTTCTAGCCTATAGACTTCAGTTTTGTTTGCCACCTCCTATCATTCCTAACGCAGAAATTCTGATGGCCAGTAAAGAATTTAAGATAGGTGAGTTCATATTGATTTTACATCATTTACAGTCTGATTTGTATGCCTGCTTGTGTGCATTTGTGTTGGTGGGTTCATTTTCAGGCTTGAGCGGCTCTCATTAATAATGTTCCCAGAATAGCAGAGCCAGCCACACACACACCTCCCCCCCACCACTAACACCCCTCGAGAACTCACTTTGAGGAGAGAAGACCGCTAAGATGTCACGGCTACCGGTCCCATAGGGCCATGCTAATATGCTGACTCATTGCCAGAATTCAGAACAGAGGCTGATGTTGTGTTGTGTTAAACATAGGTAGAGTTTACATTTTGTGCAAACACAAAATGGTGGGTGGGGGGATTGACCAAACAGAAACTATATTATATGATAAGTATACATTTTTATATTGTATTCAAACTTTTTTTGTGACACATTCCAATAGAAGGTGAATTGAGAAAATTTAATATAGAAGTTAAGAATATTTCCTAAATAATACTTTTTAATGTACTGTACATAGGCGGCACATGTAGCACAAACATGTAGTTTGTGCTATTTAAATAGCAATCACAATCACAGGAAATTATGTACTGTGTACTTGAAAATTGATTGTTGATTTTTATGCAAAAGACACACACTGATTGTCAATAAGAGTTTAAAAAGCAGAGCTTGAAGAAGTGTAGACTTTTTTTAGACTTAGATATTTGTTTCTAATGAAATTAGTGATATTAGTTTAGTCGTAACTACATCATTCTACCTACAACAACAACACTACTACTACTAATATTTTATTTATTTATAATATAAACACACTCAAACTATTATTTAATCAATTTTGGCTTTAGCACCTATGATAGATTATTATTATTATTATTATTATTAAACTTTTGCTCCCCCTAAATCTTTTTGAATAGTTTATTGAAGCTGTTGGTTTCACCTTCAGTTGAGTGCCCACAGAAAATCACGTACAAATAATAATGCAATCCTGACCTCACTGGTCCTCTGTCGCCTCTGAAATCCAATGTTAAATCAATGCACTGCTTTTCTGCCATGGGGAAAAAAAAAATGCATTCATTGATATTAATTGTTTTAAATGGGTAGTTACGGGTCGGTGTAGGGTTGTTTGACCTCTCTGGAATGGAGCGTGCTTGTAGAGCCTCCGACGGGGTTAAAGCAGTCATGGTCTTTGGCACTAACCTGCAGTGAATCACTGTTTTGATCACTGATTATCTACCACATCCAATTAATTTGCTTAATTCAGTGATTGAACAAAGGCTGCTGTGTTCAGATGGCCATGAACACATGCATTCACAGCCACAGACACATTCCTGTATGTGAATTTCAAAGCATGCAAAGCCTCTTTTTTCTGCTCTAGCTTGTGTTCCATTATTTCAGTGGAGTTAAATGCTATATTATGAAACCACTAGGTGTTTTTGTTCCTCTTAGCTTAGTCACGGAGTGCCTGAGGGTTTGTGTAGCAACAGGGAGATTTGCTTCTAAGATGTGAGCGGCCCTCAGGTAGCAGCCGATGGGTGTTATGAATGTAAACCATGCTGTGAGGTGCTTCCTTAATTACACTGCAATGCAGCGCCGGCACGTCGAGTCTCCTTTTGCCTCTTTCCTTTTCCCTTTTTTATTTTATCGTCACTGTCAGCCATTAAGCGAGACAGTGAGGGGACATGGCCTTCATCAAGTCATGAGTGAGGCAACAGCAGGAACAGCCAGATGCTGCTCCTGTTGTTCCGAGCTCCTCAGAAATCCCATGTTCTCCATAATATTTCAGAAGGTGACATGCATCTGAAAGACAATTGATAAAGCAATGAATATGTCATCTGTTCACTCCCTGTCTTTCCACAGGTGATATTGTGCTTTACAGATGTCTCCCAGGATATCATCTGAATGGGAACAGCATTCAAACCTGTCGCTTGGGGACTCATCTTGAGTTTGAAGGACCTCCAACTTCATGTGATAGTAAGTCATAATGTTTTTTTTTTGACTTGCAGAAGATCTCTTGACACCAGCATATGCAGTGTGTTGGTTCCCAGTATGGTATTTTTCTTTAGCTTAACCACTGAGACTCTTGGTCAACCAGGTTGATGATAAAGACCAATTTGGTTGGGTTTTGACATGATTATGCTGGTCCACCAGCTACACCACCACTAAACCTAAACCAGCTTGAAACATCATCCTTTCTTTCTTCTGTGGAACAGAGAATGTGGTATTTTGAAGAATATTTCAACAGTTTTTGTCCACACAATAGATTAATTTGGACTCCATTGTATGTAAAAAACAAAACAAAAAAAAAAAACAGAGCTTTTCCAACAGAAGTAATTTTCATTTCATTTTTGGTTAAACCATGGTTCCCTTTAAACAAACTATACTCACTGGGGTGCATTCACTAAACAGTTGCACCATACAGCAGTACTTTGATGTGAATAGCTGCATCTTATTCACTAACCATAAGCATTTTAAAACATTGTTAGGGACTTCTCCCCTCTCCAGTCTTTCGGTTTATATACTATAAAATCCACCCCCATGTGTTACAATGCATGATGGGTCTATTGATCATGATGGTTGGTTCTGTGCTATATGAAGCTTCATTATTGCTATTGGCTTAGAGATGGGATGAAATACCTCAGAGCCTGTCAAGCAAACCCCATGAGTATGTTAAACGCTCATCTACCTTTCATCCAGCTGCGTTTATGTGATTTGATATGGCATTTCCCATAAACTCCCCCAGTTCCTCCTCATTATGTTTGTCTCTCTACTCTCAGTGTAGAAGAATTATCTCTCTGAGCTCTCTGTACTAGTCATCACTGTGTACAGTAGGTCTGACTGAAAGGCCGCTTTTTAATGTCCCGTTATGAATACACTGAGGCTCAAAAGTCTGAGACCACTAATGAAAATGCTTAAAATTTGTATTTAAAAAAAATAAAAAATACCATTTTGCCATTAGAAATGATATAATCAACATAGTATTTAAAACAAAATGTTTAAAACTGTTTATTTCCCAGTTTAAATAGTATTATGAATCCCAAATTTTCATTGTGGTCTCATATTTTGGACCTCATTATATATCAAAACATACATAAGCTATCCCATCCTGTGTTTGGCCTCATCTGTGATGTAAATAAAAAGCAATTGGGCTGTTTGTTTACTGGAAGCAATTTGTGAGCTGCAGTACAGCTATTTGGCGGAAAATGATTAAGGCCTGTAGAAAAAAAAGAAACAAAAATAGACAAGCTTTATCATTTCCAGCGTAAGCATATGTCAGAGAGAACTGAAAGAGACCGGGGTTTCAGACAGTATATATTATAAAGTATAGCAGGCCCAAACATGTACCTGCTCAACCTTCATGGTGGAGTGTGCTCTCTTAACCTTTGTAATTCATCCTAACATTAATTAGGTGTTGACAGTTAATTACCTCGGCTATAAGAAAATCCCCTTATACTGAGGGCCAACATAGCCAGCTGACACCCGCTCCATTTGGTCAGGGTGCTGCCTCTGGCTGTCAGTCACATTAAGTATGCCTGCCTCGTCAAACACCAGAGAGGGAACGAGACAGGAGGAGGAGGAAGAAAGCAATCTTATGCTTTATATCAGTCATTTGTTGAGAGAACCAGATCTGTTCTGATAGGATCAACAGGGAAGACAATGAAAATATGAATATTAAATTGTGACCACTCAGCCTATGTAATTAAGTAAAGTTTGGTTACCAAAACAAATATGTTTAAATTACATGATACACAATGTTGAATTGGTTGTATTTGCAATGTTTTTTTTTTCCTCTTTTTTTTTCAGAAAATAGGTCCAGTAACAAAAACAAAAAGAGATTTTTGAGGAAAAGAAAGTATCAAAGTACTGTACAAACTCAGATTGACCAAGCCTTTGATTTATATCACACTATTGTTTTCATCTTCAGTGGTAATGGGTAACTCTTTCCTTATCTATTGAAACTAGTTTACATTTTTCAGAAGACATATAACAGACATCATAATTGGTGGTACAGAATTACCATAATGGCAACATTCATATTATCTGTAAAATTGTAATATTTCATATAATATTTTCTGTAAAATGATATTAGACAAAGTTAAGTTGTAAACAACAGCATCTAATTATCTAATCAAAGGTGCAGTGAAAATTCCTAATGTATGAGAAATGTACAAATGTGTTTTTTTATAGAGCACTTTGCAGTATTGAAAAGAATCAAATGTCATAGGGGTTTAAAAACAGCTTATTATTTGCGTTGTTCAAAATCTGCCCTTTTAATTCCAACAATGCAATTTATTCTAGAAAGTGAAAGAAAATTAAATGTTGCCATATGGCTATACTGTACCATAAAGGGGCAAAAGCGAGGACAAAATAGTTTAACCATTCATAGTCTTTCCTGTTGTTGATGCCAAAGCGCTGTGCATTCAGACTGTGTGGTATTTTGATAAATTCTTTCATGTGATAGGATCTAGCCAATTTGTTCAAATTCCAACAGGGACCGTCTGTGTGATATGCTCGCATCTTCAAAAAACACTACATTAAAAAAAAAAGACTACATTAAATACATGTTCACTTGCAGTAAGAATAAAAATGTGTTTGTACATAATATACTTTTATGGAAATGATTGGCCTAATATAATAACTATTGAAAATTTGATTTGATTTAAGGACAGTTTTGTTTTCTGTTATCCTGAAGAACAAGTGTGAGCAAGTATACCGAGAGAAAAACTGAGGGATTGAAAGAGTAGAGAGGAAGTACAGTGATGGGTAGAGGGAATGCAAAGCTCATTGAGATGCAGAGGATATCCAGGCTGCAGGTGCACCGAGCTATTAAATCACAGCTTCTCCCCATCTGTCTCTCTCTCTCTCTCTCTCTCTCTCTCTCTCTCGCTCTCTCTCTCTCTCTCTCTCTCTCTCGCTCTCTCGCTCTCTCTCTACCTGACATCTGATCTGACACATCCTCTTTTTGAATACATCATTCCATAAAATATATCTCCTTACTTCTTTCAGCCTTCCTCTGATACAAGAAATCCCATCCAGAACTTTCTGTCTTCTACAGACATAATCAGTTATACACAAACATGATGGCCTGATGAAACACTGTGCTCAACATTTCGTTTGATGAGCAGAAGATGCTTGATATTTAGTTGTTGTTGTTTTTTATTCCTGATTTGTTATATATGTTTCCAACAACCCTGGTTAATGATAACCCTGTTTCAAGCTGTCTGGCCAAAGCCAATCACAAAGGCAGTCACATTTGAAAAGACTTATGCTGCATTGCTTTATGTCTTCCCTTCTTCTCTCAGTGTTCCCCTCTCTTTCTTGTTTTTTGTATCTCATACTCCGAGAGAGAGAGAGAAAATAGATATTTGAATGCTGAGAGTGCATCACATGCCATTATGCAAATTAAGGGTAGGAGAATCTCATATGTATCTTCATTTCTTTAAACATGTACACACTCTCTAGACTTTCAGTGTTTATACTCAAATAAAATATGCTTTTCATCAGTGACACACAGCGTGTCCTCCCTTCTGTCACCACGGTGACATTAAAAACCCAAAGCAATTTTTCTCCTGATGGCGTTTAAGTGTTGTTTTCTTTCATTTATTTTCTTATTTATATGACTGCTGTTATTCAGTCATTTATAATTATTTGCATCATTTTCCTCTTATTCAAAATTTTGAGAATGTATATGAAATATTCATGTTTATGTATTATGTATTATGTCTGATATATCTTTCATAGATATGTATCATATGTCACCGCATGCATGTGAGAACTCACCTGAACACACTTTATACATGCACACAGTGCCACAGTAATCTAGTAAAATTGTGTCTTTCATCTTTTGAATTCTAACAAATGGAGCAAGTACCTCCACATATCTTGCTCATTTTGAAATCCTGCTCTTCCTCATTATCAGACACCCAACATATATAATAAATGTGTGTGTTTCATTTCAAAACATTACTCTTTCTGGTTATTTTCAGTGATTTAATATCTCCCTATTAATTATAAAGTCCACTAGCAACTAGACAAGTAATTGGACAAGATAGTCCTTAACTGACACTTACAAATGTGTGTGACTTATCCTACCTTAGCGACTGTTCTGACTTATTATCAGACAAGCTTTTAATCTTTTCTAATGTCTGAGTGTGTGGAGAATCTGTCTGTTTGGATTGTTTTAAACACCATTTTACATAAATGAACAAAAAAATATGGTAAAACATGCACTAATAGCTAGAGGTCGACCGATAGTGGATTTTGCCGATACTGATAGCTAGGTTGGACCACATGCTGCATTGCTGTATGTCTTCCCTTCTTCTCTCAGTGTTCCCCTCTCTTTCTTGTTTTTTGTATCTCATACTCCGAGAGAGAGAAAGAAAATAGATATTTGAATGCTGAGAGTGCATCACATGCCATTATGCAAATGAAGGGTAGGAGAATCTCATATGTTTC